CTCCACACACATTCTTGATTGAAGATTTTTTCTTAAAAGACAACACAAGCGGGCTCCTCTTCAGTTCTAGAACTACTCTGAATATGTGACAGAGCTTCAGAAGTTCTAGAACTACTCGGTGTTTAAGATAATTTTGTAATAGTGTATTTAACTTTGAAACATTACTACTGTTAGATAATATTTTCAAGATGCTAAAGCTAAATGTTGAAGTTGTTACCAAACGAGCCTTTAGGTAGTATTTGAAAACTAAGAATTGATTTGAATTCTTATATTACAAGGGGGGTGTATGAATTTGTAATTGAATTTTCTTGATAATGAGATTAGAGATTTGGTCCAAATTCAAATCGATTTTTTTTTATATTCTCAAACATGTAAATATGTAATTTGAGCCAATCTAAAATTGAAATCCGAATTCAAGTTTACAAATATGACATAAAGTTGTTCTCAATTCATTTGAATATTGCTACAAAATAAAAAAGATGAAACTTATGTACTGTAATATTTAGAAATTATCTCAAAAGCTTTATAAAGCACACATTAATATGAGTATATTACTTTAAGAAATACAAAGTAACTATCAAAAAATATTTTTTTAAAAAGAAGATTAAATTTATTTGTTAAATAAAACAACTAATTTTTTTTATGGGACGAAGGGACTAGTGACGCCTTTTCACAAACAAAATTTGATGGTGCAGATTTTTTTTTACGATAACAATCGTTAATGTGTTACTTTCACCGAGAAAAACTGGTGGTGAAAAAAAAATTGCAATAATAAATGCTATGAATAAAAAAATGTTGAAATGATCATGTCTTATTTTCCCATCAAATTCTCGGTGAAAGTCTTCATTCACATGTGAGAACTGACTTCAAGGTTAGAATATGAAGAAATATCCACCACACATAAATGACATAATGAAGTTAAATTGGACCATCTCCTAAAAGAATTGTTATGTTTTTAAAATGTTCAAATATAAGCATCAAGCGCATCTAGTGTAGTGGTATCATAGTACCCTCCCACGGTACTGACCGGGGTTCGATTCCCCGGATGCGCATTTTTTTTTTGCCAAAATGTTTTTTTTTTCCCACAGGGGTTTAAATTTGATTTCACCGAACAGATTAGGTGCAGTGATTATCCATTTTCACCAATCTTTCTTGCCCATATAATATAATAAACCGGAGGAAGAAGCGGAACCGGGAAATTCGCCCGGGATCAACCCAGAAAGATGGACAAGGACGCCGCCGCCGTTGACTCCAATTCTGATCTGATTTTGCATCTCGCCATTGATATTGGAGGTACTCTAGGTGGTTAAAGGTCGCACCTTTTTTAAAAAAATAATAATAATATGAAATTAAGTTTTGGGGATATAAGTTTTAAATTCACCATTCATCAATTCTTTTTTGTATTTCTTCCAAAAGAAGTGGTTTTGTTTAGTTCCTCTTATGATCTGTGTTCTTATGATGAAGTAGTGAAACCCCTTTGACTTCCTGTGCTTTTCAATTTTCATGTGAGTTTCTGAAATCTTGCTGAATAACAAGAGATGGTCTTGTTTTGTTTAATGATTTATGAACTGTTTATTTTGATGGGAAACACATTTTTGGAACATTGAAGAAATGAAGGTGAGGAATTTTGAGATTCTTTATCCACTCAATCAAGCATTATTGCTAGGATGTTTCAATAGTTAGTTTCTTTTATGGTACTTGTGCAGTTGGGTTATTATCTTACTCCCAAATTACCTTTTTTTTGTGCAGGTTCTCTCATTAAGTTGGTGTGCTTCTCAAATAACAGTAGCTTCTCTTTAGATGATGATGGAATGAGGTTAACAAAGGAAAAGAAAGTCTCAAATGGCGATGTGAATTACCATTTTCTACAGGGCAGTCTCCAGTTTGTGAAGTTTGAAACCATCAAGATCGATGATTGTATAAAATTCCTCGCATCAAAGAAAATTAATATCAGTGGTATGCGCTTTTGGGGGATATGTTTTCTATTTCAAACGTGTAAAGCATGTATCTACCCTTTTGGGTAGAGGTAAGGTCCGCATACACATACGGCTTTGAGGGATTTATGGGTTGTTTTATTTGTTGTATTCTCTCTCTTTCTCTTCCCTAATGAGATTGATTATGTATAGTCATAGATGTTCTTTTCGGGTCAAGTGAGTTTAGTATTTAAAGATTAAGGCAATTACAGGTGGTAGATGTTTGGAGGCTCATACCCCACACCAGAACGTCACGATTAAGGTAAAGATCTGTGGACATCTTCATATTTTAATTTTGAGAACCCTATTTGTTTTCATTGGTTGAGGTCGTGTATAAATTGTGAGGCTTGCACTCACCCTCCCCAGACCCTACATTGTGTGATCTTCTACTAGGTTTGTTGTTGTTTAGTTATCGAAGCAACATTACCCACTAATAATTAGTTGCCCTTGTGAAGGCCACAGGTGGCGGTGCATTCAAGTTTGCTAATTTATTCAAAGAAAAGCTTGGAATCACTCTCGACAAGGTTGATGAGATGGATTGCCTTGTTGCTGGAGCAAATTTTCTGCTCAAGGTGGGGAAATTTTTTCTGTTTGAAATGGTGCGGGGTGTTAAAAGAATGGGTAGTGTACCCCCCCCCCCCTTTCCTTAATGTACCGCTCTTCTCTGCTTGTGATATTTCGTTTTCTACCTACAAAAAAGCATATGGCATTTTAGGTCCAAAATCTAGGTTTTCTAATCATTATTTTCCAACATCTGTGTTTGAGTTGGGGATGTCTTGGAAACAGTATCTCTACTTCTGAGTAGGGGTAGGGTCTACGTACCCACACCCTCCCCATACCCTAGTTTTTGTGGGATTCTACTGGGTTTTTTTTTGTTGTTGTACTACCATGATAGTAAGTTAAATCGTTTTTCTTTTTACCAGGCAGTCCAGCATGAAGCTTTTACACACATCAACGGTCAGAAAGAGTATGTGCAGATAGATCAAAAAGATTTATACCCTTATTTGCTCGTAAATATTGGATCTGGTGTTAGCATGATAAAGGTCATTTTATATTGCCTTCTTAGGCTGAAGATTGCAATTCATTTCAAATTTCGACCGTAGAGTATTCTCATTCATGTACATTTTTTTTATTTATAGTTAACTTCTTTCCTTAGGTGGAACGGGACAACAAGTTTGAGCGAGTTAGTGGGACAAGTGTTGGAGGTGGCACCTTTTGGGGCTTGGGGAAGCTTTTGACCAAGTGCAAGAGGTGTGCTGGCGTTTTCCTTTTATTTGTGTCGATTTGAGCTTTTGTTGTTCTAAGTACGGGTAAGCTCTACGTAAACACCCTACTTTTTGTGAAATTTTACTGCCTTTTGTGCAGTTTTGATGAGTTACTTGAGTTGAGTCACAAAGGAAATAACAAGGTTGTAGACATGCTTGTTGGAGACATTTATGGAACGGATTATTCAAAGGTTGGATTTTTTTTCTTCTGTTCAAGGATCTAAATTGAATGGCACTTGGGGACTAATAATAACTCACTTTTAATTATAGTTAAATATTTTGCATGTCTTAGGACATTTGTTGGTTTTGAGTAAGATGATGACTCTTAGTTTTGTATTGATAGTCAACAGATTTATATATATATATACCTGTATGAACCAAAGGTTTTTTTATTTAAAATAAACATAAATTATGTTTAGATTGGACTGGCATCAACTGCCATTGCTTCTAGCTTTGGGAAGGCAATCTCACAAAACAAAGAGCTGAATGATTACAGACCTGAAGATATTTCCCGATCATTGTTACGGATGATCTCCAATAATATTGCACAGGTCAGAAATGCCCTTGTGCAAGCATCAAATCTCAAATCTGAAAGAAAAAGGCAAATGAAAACAATTTTGGGCTTGTTTGGATCTCATATTTGTTTCTGGTTAACCCTACTTTGTGCAGATTGCTTACTTGAACGCATTGCGTTTTGGGCTCAAGCGGATATTTTTCGGAGGGTTTTTTATACGGGGACATGCTTACACAATGGACACAATTTCCGAGGGCGTTGAGTTTTGGTATTTCTCTACCGACCCTACTTCAGTGTTGGTAGTGTCTCTGTTAACATCCTCTCGGCTTTCAACCAACAAGCTTGAACTTCTGGTTGATTTTGTTCTTTAACATGGTATTAGAGCTCTAGAGGTCGCTCTTTGAAATCTCACCATCGTCCCCTTTAAAAAAATAGAAAAACTCATGCCAATACTCCCAAAAATTTGTGATTCTACAACAATATTCGAAGATTACACAATTATCCCCAACGCTTCCACAAAATCAATATTTTTACAATAATACTCTAAGATTGTATATTGATCACATATATGCCTCAAAAATTAGGGTGAAATTCTAGTTTTAATGTAAAAACACATGTTGAATTTCTGGAACGCTTAGTGATGGATTATTCTTTTAAAATCTCAAACTTTTGGGTGTCTTGACATGATGTTTTCCTTAAAAAAAATAATGTTCGCGTGTAAGGCTCGAGCATAAAGGCCTCTTTATGACATGCTAAGGTATGAACATAATCCCATAAGCCTTATAAATTCAATGCCGCATACCCCAACAAGATGGAACTAAGGTGCTAATAATGATGATGACGGCGATGATAGCTATGACTAATAATAGTGTTGCTTCATGCACAGGTCAAAGGGTGAGGCGAAGGCCTTGTTTTTGAGGCACGAAGGATTTCTTGGTGCCTTAGGGGCTCTAATGAACAGAGATGATCTCACCACCGACTTGCTATCCCATCGGTTTACACAACAAGGCACCGAAGATTTATTTCGCAGCTCAACACCTTTCAGTGTTCAATGAGTAATGAATCCAAATGCAGGCTGCAGGTAGACTAGTGCGAACCATACAAATAAAAACCAGTCTTTTACCAATCTTGGATCCATCAAAGATAGGAAGGTAAAGGTTTACTTCATTGTAATGTAATGGGTTTTTGTAAAGGACCATGTTAGGGTCATTTCACCTCTCACCTCGTCTTTTATCGCACCTTCTCACCGACAGACACTAACAGACATATGTTACTGTTTATTGTCTATGAGAAAGTTGGAGTGAAAAGGTGAAGTGAGAGTTGGGAACTTTGGCATTGTCCTAATTGTAAATGCGGCATGAATATTTCGCTCAAAAACTGTATTTGTAATACATTTTGTACTATCCACTGCCCTAAAATTGTGGGAAAAGTACAAGGTTGATGAAATATCCTTCTTTAAAGTGGGTCAATATGTGGTGAGGTTCCAAACAGAGGAATATAGAGATGCAACTAAAGGATCTCTGATCTTACTGATGAGTTGAGAAAATTCATTATACGATATGAATTAACACAACATATGTTATATTGGTACTTAAGCTAATTTGTCAATACATATTGGTCGTTTGCAATCTTACTTACAGTTCAATTCATAGATATTTTATGACTATAACTATACATCATATGTCACATAGATATACCGTCGCACTGGATTACAGTGTGTTTACAATGTCTTTATGACTAAGGATCTAAAAAAGTGTTAATTGAAGGAACGAAGAACAGGTACCAATTGCTAAATTGCATATGTTTTACTCAGTCGTACGATTTTTAACAAGTTGGACTTATTTTAAAGTATATGGAGTATTATACAATAAAAGTGAATATAGGACGTCCCATAATATACTTCATTGAGTTCATTCTAAAAATATACTCCGGAAGTTCTTATTCGGACGTTGGTGGTCAAATTAATAAAATGTCACCATAATTTACACTAAAAATAGTTAGTTAAAATACGTAGTGTTACAAATTACAACATCGTACATATTTACGTAGAATTGTTCAAAACCATGAATGTGGCAACAAGTGAACACATAATAACTGAACTCATTTGGGTAAGTTTTTTGCATATAGGAATAAACTCAATTTTGGACCATGTAGAGACCATGCTCCTTTATATACTCAATGACTTCATCTGCAGTCAAATATTTTATTGACAGCCTCTTCAAGATGCATTCCCTAACATGTTTTTTTAAAAAAATTATTACATAGAATTAAAAATAAAAAAGAAAAAGACAAGCTATTGTGCATCATTTTAAGCAAGTTTGATTTGCTGCGACGAACCAAGAAAGCGTACCTTAGTCCTGTCGAACTTATCCCGTTCGGCACTACCTCATCTACAACTTTGATGTTGGTCTGAAAAATAGCACGTTGCCAAGTCGGTTACATAAAACAGTAAAATTCCACACAAAAAAATAGGGTCTAGATGGGATATATGTACGCAGATCCTACCCCTACTTGGAAGAAAGAGGCTATTTCCACGAAATCTCTGCTCACAAAGTCGGTTACATGATTCTAAAATTTCTCGCTTAACTCATCTACACACTAGACTTAATTTTCCCCAACTCAATAATATTTTTGCGTTACGTATTCCCACCCATTTGATAAACTAGGCACGAGAGCCCAGTCTACCACCTATCTAGCACTTGCTTGATCATTGGGTACATAAAAACGATTGACTTCATCCTTAGGGTCTCACACAAAACCGGCTAGACAGTTACGTGGAAGGTTTTGGAGTAAATAAAATGTTCCTAAAAATGACAGACGAATAAAGTCATTGAAATCTTAAATGATGCACAAACTATGTTAATCTTTTGATTTTTATAAAACATCAAATTTTATAAAGACATGCATGCCTTCATCCAAAACAGACTTTAAAATCATGAGAAAAACGGACGTTGGCAGCATTACAGAGTATAAGCTTTACTAAAGTTATGGGAAGAAAGTCCATGTCATGGGAAATGGACATAAAAACAATCTTTGATGAAAACAAAAATAAAGCCAGAAATCTTATTTTCTTGAAATGGAATAGCTAAATACTAAGAGCTAAGAAATATTCCCTCTCAAAAATATTTCTTCTAATTTTAACTTGACATGCTTTTTACTGTAAGATGAAAAAATGATTCACGTTCCATATGTACATATAAGAGGTCGAGAGGTTGAGAGCATTAAACTGCACATAACCCCTAGCTCCTACAACTTCAAAAACTCATAAGAGGAAGCATACCTTATATGCACTTAAAATGTCATCATCAGCGATAATCTTATCAACATCCTGAGAATCTCTTCGAACACAAACCAACCCAAAGTCTCTACATATTGTCCTAACCTGAAAAACAAATTGAAGATGTTATGTTCTGTTTTTTCTTGCACTGTCGGCAAATATAGAGGGGAGGGAGTTTTTTATTCCCCCATGTTTCAAATGTTTTGAGCCAAATGAAGGGCGGGGAGCATTTTCCCTCCTCTCCAACCAAACACGCCCTTAAGGAGCATGTGGGATTTGTATGATAATGTTGTTGTGTCAAGATAAAGCATGCTTGATGAGAATTACATGCTCAGGTATCCAAACTCCTGGACTGCTAAATGATTTTAACAAATCCGAGCCACACACAAGCATAACCTTGAGCAAATCTGCATATATAACAATTAGGTGGATAAGCAATGATGTAGTGATAATGATGCTGATGAAAATGATCATAAATTTCAAATAATAACAACAACAACAACAATAACATGGATAATGAAAAAAACAAAAATGAAGAAAGAGAAAGACAACAATAATATGAAAATTGATGATGAAAGGAAATGATAATGACTATAAATATGAATGCAAAAATTAATAACAATAACAGCAACAACCATACTGGCAACTGAAACATATCAGCCATAAATGTGAGAAAAGTAGCATGATCCACATGAATAAATTCTAGATTAACACAGATGGTAGGGAGAAAAATAAACCAAAGCTGTGAAGTTTAGAATGGGGAGAGTAACTTGTATCATAGAATAAACTAACATGTTCTAATTAGTCTTGCATTAGGCTTTCCATCTTATTCTTAGCTCAGAAACATGTTCTAGTGGCAGGATCTTACCTGATTCTAATCCACTATTTGATAATAAGGTTTTGATTCTAGACAAAACAGTCAATGTGTGCTGGTATGTATTCTGACTTGCCTGCAAGACCATTCTTGTCTTATTATAGCACCACGACTTGGCAAAAATTTATGAGCACTATAAAGAACAAAGACATAGGATTCTACATAAAATGAATTTTGGTAAGAGAGAGAGAGAGATGTTTTCACACACCTCCCACTGATCCACCATTATAAAGTCGGAGCTCTTACAAGCCAAATGGCACATTGCAATTCGATGCTTGGCAGATATAAGACCCTATTGAAACGATGGAAAGAATTTCAGTCATATTGCTTAATTTGATAATGTCTAGCAGTCATAAAGACAAGGAGTATATAATGAAAACAAAATAAATCCAAGATACATCTAAGCAGAGGCTAGTGATGGACAACAAAACAACCCACCGGAAAACACTACGCATATTGCATTAGTTACCATAAGACCATTAATTTGAATGTAATGAAAGTAGATCTTTGAAATCTAGATAAGCTAAAGTTCCATATATATTCACATTTATATTATGCATGCTGAAATAATAATTAAAATACCACCCTACCTTGTATTAACATGTTTCACTTCACAAATGTATACCTTTTACAGAGTAAATTTTAGTAAGATGCATCTATTGAGATTATCAAATATAGCAATAATTCTACATCTATTTATTGATTCAACTAAATTTAACACACTTGAGAAAAATTAGCTTCTTTTGTTCAAATTGAGTTTTTTGGGGACAGAATTTCAGAAACCTGATTATTTTTATGTGTCGGAGTGAGTATACATCAATAATAAAAATAAAAATCTATTGACAAGCATTTCCTTTTCTGAGAACCACATTAGTTTTAAAGCATCACTAAGGCTTTAGAAAAATAGCTCATACTTTTTGTTTTCTTTCTTATAGCTATATACTTTACACCTTACTTTCTAGAACCAGATCAAAAGGTTGCAATTGAAAATTGTTTATAAGAAATAAAATTCACGAATGCAATGTATACCTGGTTGCATGCTTATTTACCTTTTTCTTATATGCATCATTCACGGGTGACATGTAACCTCCAATGACACAGAATCCATGTGAATTTAATGTGTCTCTTGCTAGTTCTGAGCACACAAAGACACACAAAAAGAAATAACATTAGTATGCATTTGGAGAGAAAAAAACTGAAACTGTAATCACTAATCACATAGAAGCTACTTTTTTAATGAGAGTAGAGGATAATAAATCACACATCTTCTTCCCATAGCATACATGATGAAAAAAACGAATGCATTACCCCATGATTCCGGATTCTCCACACAAAAATTGCAACAAGTGAGATACATCAAGAATGAAACATGATTGTAGAATATAAACAATCTAGTGAAATTTAAAGGGTGAAAACGGAAAAGAATAAGACAAGAAAAGCATCTTCCCAATTGAGAGAAAGGTAATTGGGGTCAAGAAAACAATTACCGAAACAACGCAAATGCATATAAGTAGGAGGGTTGAAACTTCCAGTTGACACAAGAACTACATATTTGCGTTTCCTATAAGAAAGAAAGAGAGTGTTACAAAGGTGGAGAAGGTTAGTTTTAAAGGGAACAAAATGTAATAGATAAAAGGAACCAAATCTACATGTTGCAAGATGGGTACCTAAAATAAAACTTTTCCCCATGCTCATTTGTGAATTAAGGTATACAACGATTAGGTGTTCTTTTCTCACCTGATTTTTCAACTCCTTATTCTTCCTCTAATCAGATTAGTGGGACCAAAGACATTTAAATCAAGCTACACTAGGAATGAGACCAATCCTGATGTTATATTTCATAAAACAAAATTAGAAAGATCACGAAGATTCAGACCATACCGATCCAGGAACATTATAGGACCAAACCGAATCTTTAAAAAAAAACATGTAGACACATAAAGCAGAGAGAACAGAACCTAAGTCTTAGTCCTAAATCACCACCTCCACAAACACTCAAAGAATCTCTTACGGCCTTTCACGGATAAAAGGACAATAATAGACTCAATCTCATACAAGTATACAACCACTAAGAGTTGCTTAACTGCTTAAGACCTTACATTTCAAATTGGTCTTGATTACATTCTTGACAGTCACCTCCCTTAGATTTGTCTAGTACATGTGGATAGGAGAATTTTCATGGGCCCCTGGAGCATATTCACATGTTCAGAAGCATGGAACTCCAAGTCATTAGAAAATCAAGCAGCAAACCCATCATTGTTGTGAATGAGATCACGGTGCAGCATATTAAAAGACCAAAAATAGTGAATAGATATGCTTAGTCATATGTGACCCTTAAAAAATCAATCTTTCACCTGGTTGAACAAAAAATATTTTGCAAGTTATGTGGGTAAAGATTATTCCCTATGTCTCATTTCATGGGTCCTACTAGTACAACGAGGAACAACAACAACATTACCCCAATGCCTCAAAGGCTCCCCCGGCCCCCGCCCTTTGCGGGGGTAAGGGGGTAGGATGTATGCAGCGTGACCCCTATGTTTAAAATATAGAGTGGTTGATGACCCATGATGAGCGTCAAAAGTTGCATTGACTAATTACTACTTCACTATAAAAGAATCTCAAACCATTTAAAGAGCCATTTTGCTTTATTCCATCATACCCCAAAGCAAAAAAATAGTGAATCTTTGGCTTCATCGGAGATGATGAAAAACCACTAGTACAATGAGGCAAGACAAAATATTTCTATTTCAGCTTTTTGGGATAAATTCTCTACTAATCCATATCATTGAATAAAGTTTATATACTATTTAAATTTAAACTTTATATTTAGGGCATTGTTAAGGAGCTAAAATATCCAAGTTTAATGAACGTTAATGTTTGGATAGATGTAAGTTTATGTAAATGAAAACGAGTAGAACTTTTTTATTTGGGTATGACGGAAAACATAGAGGAAAGCAAATGAGATGCTTTGTAGTTCCAAGTATGAACCAATAAATAAAAACTAAAAGGCCTGTGGGAGTATTAAAATGTAACTTACTCTGCTTCTGGAATCAGGAGTTTGTGTTGGTTGAATAATCCTAAAGATAACTTATCCAGCGGAACATCGGCATTTTTATCAGCTACAAAGTTGAAATGAATACGGAGTTGGTTGAACACTTGAACATATTCAATGTTGAAGAATCTTACAAATAAAACAGCTAAGAAAGGTTTGAATCTATGGAACAGAAATTTATATATACATGACATATTTGCAATTACTCAATTAGTAAAAGTTCTAGTAAATTCGCTAAGATATAAAACCATAGAACTCCATAAATTTTAGATTAACGAAAAGTACTTACTCCCGGAATCCTTTTCCATTGGGTCTGGAGATATAGGCACTGCAAAGCAAGTTCCTAGATCAATCTCTGGAATGTCAGAATTTCGCTGCAAGAAGAATCCATTACACAAGCAGAACACCTAGCAAATTGCTGGCAATAGTCTTGATCTCCAATTGTTATAAGGTTCCCCTAAAATCTGGGTGCAATCAATTGGTCCATTCACCAGAATCTGATTTTCAGAACTAATCATATGATTGATTTTCTATAGAATCTACAGAAAAAATGAACACTGATTCTAAATGGTTGAAAGCAGAAGCAAAATCACATGCAGGCAACAATAATAATAATCAACGGAAAGTAGACAAGTCAAGAAAATGGCAAAACAATTTGTTCAAAAACAGAGCGAAAAAATTGGTTCCAGTCCCCAAACTCCATACTCAAAATCAAAACACCAAATTTCAGTTAAGATTAAAGTGTAAAAACATATGCTTAGCGTTATGCTCTTTTCCAAATAAGAAACAGACGAAAATAATGACATGTAGCCATGTAGCACACATCAAAATAAGAATGGGCGCATTCATTAATAGTTTTAATGTGCAAAAAGATTGTACTTAAGCATTACACAAAATATCATCGTATATTTCTTATATCCTAAGTTTTTATGACACCTGGCACAACACTAAAAATTAAATAGCAAGACACGTTATATTTTCCTTCTTTATCTTTCTCTTTTAGTACATGCTCAATTATTTTTCATTTCTCAATAAATTTCAAACAAAAGAAGGATGGAGTAGTTGTCACTATGTAAGCAATATTAATAGCATTAATAAGAACACACTTGCATGCCAGAGGCGGATCCAAGAATTTAAAGTATTGAGGTCCCAAACATTCCACCTTGAGCTAGTTCATAATTTCCAGAAATTACAAAAAAATGATATATTTGAACAATAAGATAATCGTTAATAAAATAGCATAGAATTAATTTTACATTACAACTGGATTCTTTTAGCTTTGAAGATGACTATGACGTATCTCACCTAACAGATGTTTCATTATACCCTAGATGCATTGTAGCATTTACTACAAAAAACTTCACAGAATCTAAGAATCAAGAAAAGTTGAATATTCTATTTTGATTTAGTCCATTATCTACCGAAACTAAAACATTGCGAATATTGTTATTTTCAGTTTTGGCACTTCACAAACCAAACATACCATATCGAAAGAAAATTTGCTAAGTGCAGTTAAACACATATGATGACTTATTAAAAGCAATAGAGTAATGAAGCAAGCTTTAATCAGCTTTATAATCACTGCTTAGTAAGCAGGTATGCACATAGGGAAGTTGGCCCATACATCATAACCACATACTCTGAAGATTAACTACATTCATTACTAAAGAGCTTAGGCTTATAAATGGAAGACATCATATAATACCAAAACAGTTTATATTAACAAAGCAGTAAGACTTCCCGTCATATATTTGGATGACAAAAGATAACGAAATAGTCCCGACGAAGGAACAAGACCTTATAATTGGGAATTAGTCAATGACATGAAGATTCAATCTTGTGATCACAAATATCTAATTTTCAGGAATATTAGCAAAGAATTGGAAAACTTAATGGAATCCAGGCTCTCGCCCAAACCCACACTCAAAACTCCAAAGTTCTCACAATGGAGGGAGTTGAGGCCCCCGCTGGCTCTCGCCAGGGGTCACTGACCACCATGCGCACGTTTTTAACCCTCGAGACCACCGGATGCACAACGTCACCCGCATGACCTTAATTTCTAATACCAATCCGATTACTATTTTCTAATATTTGATTTAACTATGATTTGCTTTGATATACTAGGTGGCCTACTTCATGGTTCCAAATCAACACTTAATTTATCACCAATTCATTAATTACTAATTTGGGTTGATTTGTAGTAATTGCTAACTTTTTAAGGACAAATTATAAGGAAGGACTGAATTGCAAACTATTAAAATCCTAGGGGTCAAAATATAATTTATAAAAACAAAAATCATATTTCCAGTCTATTTGCAGACCCGTCTTCCTCCCAGCTTCCTTACTGAGAACAAGAGTAGCAGCAGCCGTACCCAGCGAAGCAAGGCACCGGCTGTTGGCGACTCCCCAGCGGCGACCACAGTAATTCGACCTAGCACCAGCGGCGTCAAGGACAGCAGCGTTAACGACGTCCATCTTCCGGCGGCGAAGCAAATCCGAACAGAGTAGAAGAAGGAACAGAAAAGAACACAACAGCACATAGAAGACCGAGGTAATGTAGAAGAACTAAACAGAGCAGGAACGAAAGAAAATAACAGGACAGACATGCGTTGGAATTCAAGACGCAGTTTCCCAGATTGCCAATTTGATTTCAACTTCTAACACAACTAATCACACAATTTGATAATCAAAATTACAAATTCAACTTCAATTGAATGTGAATATATTAACAGATCCTAATCTGCTAATCAATTTTAACTAGAGATAAATCACTCACCTGGGACTAATCGGAGAAGAAACACGAACCAATCGATTTATCAATCCGGCCAAGCTTTCCGGCGAACAGGCGGCACGCCTCCCTCTGACCGACCGTGCAGCTGGGTCGAGTAGGGCAACAGGCAGAAGATTGAAGAAAAGAGGGCGGCTATGGTGGGTATATGGTTAGAGCACCCTGCTTTTTCCTCATTTGATTTTCTTGGATTTGATGTGGTTTGATGACTTTGATTTGATCTGATTCGATCTGATCTAATCTGATTTTATCTAATCTGATATGATCTGATTGAATTTGTCCTAATCTGATCTGATTTAGTTTTAATAAGAATAAGTAATAAGTAGAAAAAATAATCCCTACGGAAAGGACTCTGAGTGATACAGAGAGATAAGCTTCTGGCCTAAACCATTCCGAACCATTTAAAAATGGAAAAAATACTAGACGGTATAAAACTCGAACCGTATTGATAAATGCTCATTCTAGATGTCAATTTCCATTCAGACTCAATTAAAGGAATCAAATGGCATGTTAACAAAAATTGGAAAAAAAGATTTCTTTATGTAGTAAAAAAAAAGACAAAACAAAGTCACATGTCTACATATGTGATGGAGATGCAAAGAATTTACTCTTAAAGTAAAAATCACCATAGTCTTAACAACTATTATTTCTTTGTGCTTATAGTCAAAATTATTTATAAAATTTTTTACCCATAAGTTAGTTCATGACATATTGTTCTAGTGTAACCTCATCTTTACGGAAAAAGGCTACAAGTCTCTCCCAATATCTTTACCTTAACTCAGTCCTAGCCCTGCAGTGCATACTACGTATCTCTGACTGCACGAGTGTATGCTATCGGAACCACTCTCAACTCAAGGAAACTCAACAGGATCTCCCTCGACACTCTATCATACGCCTTTTTGAGATCAATAAACACCAAATAAATATTCTTCCGCTTGGCCTTATTCCCTTCCATCAACTTCTGTATAAGGGAAATGGTCTTGGTGGCCGATATGTCGGGCATGAAACCAAACTGATTTTCTGAAACACACACCTCCTCCCGCAATCTTAAGTCAATGACACGCTCTGAAACCTTCATAGTGTGGCTAATTAATTTGATGCCTCGACCTCATCCTTACTCTTAAACAAAGGAACCAAGATATTTTCCCTCCATTCGTCAACGCTAATAAAAAAGTTATTTCCAAACAAGGACATTTGGAAGTAGTATTTCTATAATTAATGTATATACAAGAGGTCTATGGAGCCTTTCAAAAATTGATATTCGAGATATAAAAATCCATACATCTGTATTGCTCCCATAAATCCTAGCGACTAATTACATAGAGTTTGTTTGGAATAGCATTAGAGACTAGGATTAGCGTTTTGAAAATGCTGGTTTTGTTTGTGAATAATAGCGTAAGAGGTTTTGAAAAGGCTATCTTTAGACAACGTTTAACGTTAGCATTTTCAAAGCTTACTTGTACCATTAAAATTTTATCTAAAATGCTCACGCTAATCGAAAATGATATTCTCAAACAGGCTCACTATCTACGACCAGTCTTTAACGTTAGCATTTTCAAAATTAATCTGCACCGTTTAAATTTTATTCAAAACGCTAATGTTAATTGAAAACGTTATCCCCAAACAGGCTCTTTACTTGAATGTACTTAATAAATTCAGCTATTAATGTGTTTTATTTGTTTTTAAATTAAAGTAGCGTCATAATGTTGAATATATTGGTCTTGCAAAAATAAGGATTTAAAAGACTAAGATCACACCAAAGGTATGTACCTTTTAGAAGTTTGAACGAAAATACTATTTCCCTCATTTCCAAAGTATATTTATGATCAAAGTTTTAAAATTGTAATATGTATCCCATCTCAATTTATTTTTTCACATGATGTGGTTAAAAAAATTCAAATAAGAAGAAAAACATTAAATAAAAATGCTAAGTATTACTCTGTATTGGATATGAAAATTCTACCGTTGAGTTTAACTCACAGTGGACCTTCATGTGAACCAACTAAACAAATACTCCATAAAGAAATACGGAGTATAAAAAAGTTTTTTTTAAGTTCAAAAATCCACTCAAATTTCGTGCCATAAGGCCACAATCTTAAAAGACTTCACAAATTTGCAGCATAGCTTTCCTAAAAGCTTGAAACTCTAGACCCCACCCACAAACAAATACGTAGTACTCGGTATAAATTCACATTTTGGCTTTAATATTTCCTCGAATCCCACAAAATCATTGCTTTTAAAGAAATTAAAACGTGTGTATTTTGGTGTTGAGTTTTCAAAAATAGAAATTAAAAATTTGATGTGATAAGTAAATTAAAAATTAGTAGGGATAAAAATGACTTTTTAATAGAAATGATAAAATTTTTTTGGAAGAGATGAAAAAAAAAAAAAGAAACGTTTTATAGGACGGAAGGAGTGAAAAATAAGGAAATACGGAGTATTGTTTTACCATTGGCCTTCCCATAGTACCCCATGCCCTAAACAAAAATTGGATATAATCAAATCAATGAATAGTGTAAAGTATGGATAGACGTGTCCTTTTCAGTAAAATGGAAAAGAGTTTGTTGGACGCCAAAATAAAAAAAGAGAAAATTAAAGAATTTTTGGGACGGAAGGGGTGTGCACACACACACACACATATATATATATGAGCCTTAATGTTAGAACAAAATTTTTTACAATAATTGTACAACACTTCGTTTGAAGTACCTACTGTGTTTCGTTTGTTAAATTGATTGTTCATATCACTAACTACATCCCTCAACCCTTCCCCACTGCCCACCCCATGCCCCCACCCTACAAACGCTGATTTGGCATGCCTTATAAGCATATATGCTCATAAGCACAATGGAAAGAGGAAGAAGGAAAAGAGATGGAAATGCAAATGAAGCAACCTAGCATGTTCATCTTTCTTTGTTCACCTGCAATAGGTCACCTCGTACCAACAATGGAGTTTGCCAAGCTCCTCCTTCCCAAACAAAACCTTCTCTCCATCACATTCCTTGCCATAAACCCGCCTTTCGACGATCCAAAACTCGCCTCGTACTTCCATTCACTCATCATCAGTTCCGCGTCGAGAAGACTGCATGTGAAAACCCTAAGTCCAAACTTAGCAGAGATGATGAACACTAACCCAAGCAACTTTCTAGCTCTCTTCATTGATTCTCATAGGGCTCAAGTTAGAGACCATGCGAAAACAATGATGGGTTCGAGAGATTTCAAGGTTTTAGGGTTTATAGCAGGTAAAAATTGTGGATATAAGAGATATTTTTATTTTTTTAGTAACTCGCATACCCATTAGTTTAGTATCTTTTCAAAAGTTACCGTTTTAAAAACTTCCGGATTTACTTCTTTGGCTAATTATTCACCGTCTTCGGTTTTGCTCCTATTTATCATTATTTTTTTGAGTTATTTCAGAAATCAATCAGATTTAACACCAATAGTTTATACTATAGCACTAAGACCATGTGTTGTGAGGCTTGACCCACCGGCGTGAAGAAGGCGTCACGGCTCATCATGACGAGACCACCATGACACCTGTGGCGTGATGGAGGCGTGACAAAGGGGGTTTTATGGTGGTCACGAGCATTGACCTTCTTTTTCCTTTTTTTTTTAAATTTTTTCATTTCAAATCAATCAAAATTTAACATATCTTCACACCTACCATAACACACATACCTTCATCACTCCACATTATATATTTTTACACATTGTCAAGCTCTCTTTAACTCGTAATAACACATGATTTAATAATAATTTACGATATATAGAGACGTATACAAACAATTTTTGTATAACACATAAATAATCATTATCTGTGCATGTTTGTCAAACATTTATGTCAAAGTGTCAAAACTGGTGGTTTCTAGCATTATTGTATCTTGTTTGTACCAGACGTGTTGTGTGCCGGCATGGCCGCCGATGTGGCGGAGGAGTTTAATCTCCCGTACTATGTTTTCTACACGTCCGGCGCGGCGGCGCTCGGGCTTCAGCTCCACCTTTTGAGCCTCGCGGAGGAGAATGGCGGAGAGGCGACAGGGCCCGGCGGCTGCGGCGTGGATTCCGATTATCTGAATGTCCCCACTTATGTCCGGCCGTTTCCGGCGAAGCTACTGCCGTCGATCATGCTGGACAGAAATGGCGGCTGTGATTTGATTCTTGATCTCTTCAGGAAAATAAAGAACAAGGCGAAGGGTATTATTGTCAACACGTTTCTTGAGCTCGAACCTCACGCCGTTAAATCCCTGTGTGGGGACCACTACTCAAACTCTCCGCCGCCGGTTTACTCCGTCGGACCGGTTCTAAACCTCCGGGATCTTTCCACGGAAGAGGTCAATTCTCGAAATCCAGGAGAAGAAGAGGATTATATATTCCCTCCATCCCGAAATAAGGTATTTCTTCATACTCCCTCCCTCCCTCCCTCCGTTTTCAAAAACACTTCCTCTTTCATTTTTTTCACTTCCAACAAAACACTTCTCCTTTCTATTAAAAAACCATTTTTACCCATACTTTTTCATACCCTACCTATCACATTATACTTTTTCTCTAATAATCTATCCATCACATCTTACTTTTACCCATCACATCGGGGGCAAAATTGGAAATCAACTATAATTTAACACTTCCTTATTTTTGCCCCCAAATCAAATGGGAAGAGTTTTTCCAAACGGAGGGAGTATATTTTTAGGATAATTTACCTAAATATGACTTAAACATAATGACTTTCTGAATATAGTATCATATGTTTTTATTTTCCATTGTATGACCATTGGTCATTATCTATTAGTCATTATTCAACTAAATGTCCAGCATCACCTGGACAATTTTCTTCGTCATTATTAAGTCCTATTTAAGGATAAAAAAAAGTTTAAGTCCTACATTGGAAAATGAATTACTCCCTCCGTTTGCAAAAAGGCGTCCTATTTTGACTTGGAGCAAAAATAAAGAAGTGTTAAATTATAGCTGACTTCCAATTTTGCCCCTGATGTGATGGGTAAAAGTAAGATGTGATGGATAGATTATTAGAGAAAAAGTATAATGTGATAGGTAGGGTATGAAAAAGTAAGGGTAAAAGTGATTTTTTAATAGAAAGTGGAAGTGTTTTGTTGGAAGTGGAAAAAATGAAAGAGGAAGTGTTTTTGAGAACATAGGGAGTATGTTTTAGTTTTATTCAGTGCAAATTTCACATATTTTTATTTATCTTTGATAACTTAAACTAATCAAAATTCAAAAGAGAAACAGGCAAATTGAATCTGAAGATTTTTTATGTAATTTTTTAATAGGAATTCAAATATGTATTGTCTTTGCCTTTTTTATTTCTAAAAATGAATTACAGAATAATCAATAATGGAGATGATATTATGAGTCATGGATACACATGGTAAAATGTATATTTCATTTCTTTTCTTTTTCTTTACTAAGAAGGGAAACGTGTTAATCTAATGAAAATGATGGAAATTTACCATTATAAAGAATTTAATATTGAATTGAAAATAATCTTAGTTAAATAGTATATCTTCCTATATATAGGAATTTTATTTTGAGAAAAAGGGAGTATATGAGTGGTTGGATGGTCAGTCTGAATCTTCTGTGGTCTTTCTTTGCTTCGGAAGTGCGGGTTTCTTCCCAGAGGAACAACTGAATGAGATCGCTCATGCTCTCGAGGTTAGCAAGCAGAGGTTCGTGTGGGCCATACGGCCACCGCTTGAAGTCTCGTGGTTAGAATTGTTCTTGAGAAGGACAGAAGGGCAGGGGAAGGTGGTGCTGAGTTGGGCCCCACAAGCGGCCATACTGGGACACTCAGCCGTAGGAGGCTTCGTCTCCCACTGCGGATGGAACTCGATACTCGAAAGCATTTGGTTCGGAAAACCGATAGCGGCGTGGCCGATCTACGGCGAGCAACAGGCAAACGCGTTCCAACTGATTGAAGAGATAGGTGTGGGTGTGGATATCAAAATGGACTACAAAATGGAGTATCCAAACAAGGTTTCAAATACACTTGTGAGGGCAAAAGAGATAGAGAGGGGAATCAAAAGTCTAATGGATCCTACAAATCCCATTAGGTTAAAGGCGGGAGAAATGAAGGAAAGAAGCCGTTTGACACTCATGAAAGGTGGATCTTCCCATACTTCTCTTGAACGCTTCATTCAGCAAGTCTGCAACAATGTGAATTAGCATTTGGGCCAGCCCATATAGGCCTAGATATATATATTTGGGCCGGTCAAGTCCGTTCCTTCTCATCATATGGGCCCAATATGATTAAGGTGATCCAAATAAAATATTTGATTTGTATGAAAAATGACAATTGATTATTGCTTACTCTCAATTATTTATATTCCGGCTTTGAGTGTCCATCCGGTTTGAATTTTTTAGTCCAATTAGATGAACTTTGGTCATCAATTAATTGGGGTATAAAATTCGTACGGCATATTTGTACAAAAATGATAAAATTAGATCTATCTAACGGAAAACTAGCAGAAAATTAATTTATTATATGAATATAAAATACAAATTTAAAGTAACTGACGTTTAAAGTTTTTTTTAATACGGTTAAAAAAATTATACTAGACAAATTCTTTAAACACAGAAAGTATAATTGAATATGATTCGCAATGTAATACTGCAATAGTCCCATTTGAATATTGACAAATTAATTTATTTTTGTTTTTTGACTGATGTAATTTTCCAAACAATGCCCATAGTAGGTGTTTTTGTTAAATATCTTAATATTATATTTAATATTATTGTATATTGGTAGCTACCATAATTGTATAGGGTGCATTAATTATAGTTTCCTATTGTCATTAGGAAACTCTTGTATATAAACACATGTAATCTCCCATAATATTCTATTGGAAAATATTCTTTCTACATGGTATCAGAGCCCTAATTGGCTTCTGTTTTCTCCTTCTCTCTCTCACGATCGGAAATCCCCCCCCCCCACCCTACTGCCGATCACCTCCTTCTCTAGGCAGATCACATGGCCGACGAAAATTCTTCCTCCGGCAAGGTTATTTCAACCTCCGATACATCTTCCTCCAACAACTCTCCCCATCTCGCCTTCACAACTATATCAAATATCAAACTTCACATTCCCGTGCAACTCAGTTTGTCGGAACCAAATTACGAAAAGTGGAGTCGCCTGTCCTGTCTCTTGATTCTCCGCTTCAATCTCAAAGGCTTCATCGACGGCACCACCATCGCCTCTTCTGCAGATGACGCCGAATGGTACCAATTTGATGCACTAATTCAAGGGTGGATCCTGTCCACCATTATGGATGAGGTTTCCGATCTCGTTCTTGCCAACAATCTCTCCGCTCATGCACTATGGAAGGCTATCTACAATCTCTTCCACGACAACAAGCATGCCCGGGCGATGCAATTGGAACATCGCTTCCGCACCACCGTGAAGGGCAACCGATCTATCAACGAATATTATCGTCTTCTCAAGAACCCCTCCGAATACCTTGATGATGTTGACGCTCCGGTGACCGAGCATGCTCTCGTTTGACAGGTTCTCCAGGGACTACCACACGACATCCGTGGCCAAGTCCAATTTCTCCAGTACCAGAACCCTCTCCCCACCTTTCTGGAAGTTCGGTCCGCCCTCCTCCTCGTCGAACAGCAGCAATCCGACTCCATCCACGGCGCCGGCGCGTCGCCCACTGCCTTCCTTAGCACCGGCAGTGGCGGCAGCTTTGGGGGCGGCGCACAGCGGCAAGACAGGGCGGGCGGACGTGGTGGCTACGGCGGATACGGCAGGGCTCCTGGCGGCGGCAGTGGTGGCGGCAGCAATCGCGGCAAGGGCCGCGGTCGAGGGCGTGGCGGCGGCGGATCTCAGCGGCAACCATCGGGCCAAGCTTCCTGGCAGTTCCCCTCTCCCCAACCCGGTTTGCTTGGGCCACGGCCCAACTACCCAACAGCCCAAGCCCATTACACCCACAGCCCAAATTCCCAATTTC